TGTTTCAAATCAGGTTCATTTAACTTTAAATTTGCTAAATTTTCTCAAATAACGTTTTAGAAGTATATATTTTTGCAAGAATTTTAAAGCCGAGAATTAAATTTGATTGCAATTGAATAAAAAAAAATGGCCTTTTTTTTTACCGATTTTATTGAAAAAAAATCGATCTCGATCAATACAATTTCTGTTTAAAAGGATTTCGCTGACTGAAAATAGTAAATTTTAAATCCTTTAGATATCAAGTAAAGCTAAAATGAAAGCTTTTTCGTTTTAAACGTTTAAAATGAAAAAACTTTCTTGAATTACTGGAGGTAACTCTCTCTCTCTCTCTCTCTCTCTTTTATATATATATATATATATATATATATATAATAAGGGAGTTTTAGTTTGTTGTGTAGATTTGATTTTCTTCCCTCCAGAATTCATAAAAAATATGCTAATACCTCGTACGTTCGTTCCTCTCTCTCTCATGCCTAGCTATGTATGAAAAAAAAAAAATTAATTTGAAGAAATCCCACGAGTACTTTTTTTTTTTTTTAGGCCTAGGTTGGGGTTTGCTTTATTAAGACTTTACATTAACTAAATTAATTATTAACTTTTATAAAATACGTGATCTGAAGTCTTTAATCTAGAGCAATACAAAAAAAAAATATAAAACTGAAGACTTTTCATAAAACTTGATTGAGAGATCACCGGAATTGTCACTGTAAATGCTGAATACAAGTTTTGTTTAAGGAATGTAAAATCGTCCAAGAAACATTTTTATCTGACTAAAGATCAGTAAAGCCCGTTGGCCCTAACTTCTCCCAGCGTCCGATTTAAAGCTAACAAATCACAATAAAGACATTTTTATCATATGTTAACAAGTAGGAAATCGGGTTTGTGTCCAGATATATAAAACACAGCGTGTATTCATAGATATTTTTCTACGTCACAAGTGTCCACTTCATCGAGATGAACGAATTTCCACTATTCGGATCGGTAGTTGTCGATTATACCATTGAAAAAAATGTCGACTAATATGTGTGCATATATATATATATATATATATATATATATATAGATAGATAGATAGAGAGAGAGAGATATGTCTTTTGAAATAAATTTATAACTGACTATATGATGAATTTCAAGTCTTTTAATTATTATTTATATTGTTCTGTATATAAATTTTCCGTTACTATACAATGAGCTCTCATTATGGATTTAACTTTAATATTTTTATATTAAAAAGACCTTGGAATAATCCGTATTTCCTACGGATTTGGTGTGTGTATATATATATATATATATATATATATATATATATATATATATATATATATATATATATAAAATAGTCCGACAATTATTTTAATATATTTTCTGTTCATACGCCATTTTATGGATACAAATATTTACGTAAACGGTCTGTTTGTAATAAACAGTATTAACAACATATAGTATTAACTGTCATATAGTCTGACGTGCTATACTATTTAGATACAGAGGAAGCGTCTGGTTAGCAAAAAGTTTCAAAAGCAGTTCGACCAACTAACCAGACGCTTCCTCTGTAGCTAAATGGTGTAGCACGTCAGGCTATATGACAGTTCTGTGTAGGATACAGGATCGATTCCTGTCGGAGGATACACATTTTCTATGGAATTTCTCGGACATTAAGGCAAGTAAATGTTAATACTGTTTATTATAAACAGAGCATTTACTTAAATATTTGTATCGATAAAAAGTAATATATAAACAATATATATATCATATTGTATATAGTAATCACAAATAATGTTGGACTATGGATAAAAACTCAATAATTCCTTAAAAAAATAAAAAAATAAATAAAAATAAATAAAAAAAAAAATAAAAAAATAAAAAAAAATAAAAATAAAAAAATACTACACACTCAACTACTTCAAATGTAATTTTTAGTAGATACCCGTGGTTGAAATAAACGCTCCGTTCTTTTTATTTAAAAAAATATATATTATATCTATCGGCCTGCGCACTCAAGAACACTTAATAAAAATTGGCTGCACACACACACACAGGGGGAGTAATCCATTGATATAATTCAAGCTAGTCCTATCAACACAGTAAAGAATTTGAAATATTAAATGTTTAAACTAACTCACAAAGAGCGCTCAATGTTTATTTTCATTATACAGAGCGAAATTTTCCGTATAATTGGAATTAAGATACCATTAGTTAATGACCATTTTCACCTATGAATTATAAAATTCGCAGGATTTTTCAAACTGTTCATATTGTCAATTTGTAGAAGGGGACTTTCCTCTATCTCCTTCCCTAACCAGTCCCCTTCTAATATATATATATTACAATGAATCATTCATACAATAAGTATGTTAGTAAAGTTAATGATATAAAATGGCGATATCCTTTCGCGAACAAAATTTTGAAGTTACATTAACCTACGAATCACTCAATGAATGTTATGATCCTTGTTTTTAATAATTATAAGCTGTATAAGGTATTTTTTTTAATACGCAAGTAATTTCAACTGTACATTCAAGGATCATAACATTCATCGATTGATTCATAGGTTAATGCAACTAAAATTTTGTTTAAAAATAGTTGTAAACCTTTTTTTTTTTAACTTTAATCATAGCGAACCATGCTCATCAATATGTGGGTTTTGCCCAACCGAATGTGTGCCGGGTTTACGATATACTGGCCGAATTGTGTCCCACTTATGTACGACTGAATCATTCTTCTACTTTCGGATATATTTTCAGTATTAAATAATGGCACAAAATTGTCATTAAAAACTACTTAACAATCTGCAATTCAAAACAGAAGGGCATGTTCATGCCAGTTGGACCACTTCCGTTAAGAAGATAGAGTAAGAAGCAAGAAGTGGGTAGGAAAGAAGAACTTAAAACAAAAGGAGGAGGAATAAAGACATTTTAGAAAAAAGGAAAAGAAAATATTTTGGATAATGAAACGCCGGAAGGATAGAAAGAAAAATTCGAGGAAAAAAAAAAAAAAAAAAAATATTCACGAAAAAAAAAAAAAAAAAAAAAAAAAAAAATGTTGAGGGCGATATATATATATATATATATATATATATATATATATATATCTCCTTAAATAGGATAGATGTCAACATTTTACTGAAAAAGGTGAGGTACATATGAGGAACCTTTCGGCCAACGAAGAAAATGGTTAGGAAATTTATTGTTGAATTTATTTTTTATAACAAGATCGATGAAAAATAATTTATGGTACTAAATGGGAGAATAAAAATGGCGCACGGTCAAAATATAAAATCGTAACAATAAAAGCTGGTAAATCAATTCAATTTGTAAAATTAAAAACGAATAAAACTGATAAACAAAGCTGAAAAAAGTACCAAAAATAGGGAGGCAGGGAGGGAGGTGTGTGTGTGTGTGTGTGTGTGTGTGTGTGTGTGTGTGTGTTCGCTCGCGCACATAGAAATCAATACAGCATGATGACTGTGTTTCACCCCTCAAGTGATTTTAGATTACGGACATTATTCGAATCGTGAAACTGACAGTCACCATACAATATTGATGCTTATATCCACAATGCTTATATTTAAATCATTCTATCACCAATATTGAGTGCTCTATCGCCATATATCAGCAAATTGAAAAAATAATCATATATATTTTTCTTGCCACATATAATTTGGGTAACAATTCTTCTTTTATACATGTTTCATTGAATATGACGATTAACCCTTCGAGTCCTGACAACCGCTTTACCGGTGCTGGAGAAAAATGACAATGCCCAGCCACTGGAAAAACGGTCGGTAAACACTTGTAACTATTTTTATATCTCCCGTGAAACATTACATGCCAATTATTTGCGAATTTTGACTCAGGAGCTTAGACAGAAGGGTTAAAATTGTTGAGGAACGCAGGGCTTAAAGGGTTAAGGAAAATATTCCAATCGTCCTTACTATTTTTTTTTATGGAGAACTAGAAGTGTGTAAAAGTTACGCGTAGTGATTATTGTTGGCTAATTAAAATGTTCCTTGCCACACGGATGATTTTTTAACGGTTTGTCAACCTTTTGCAGGTCATTTAAACCAAGAAAATATTTTCAGATTCTCGAAATTTTGGAAGATAATGATTTACTGATACAAAACCTACTCATTAACCCATAGTTGGGGGAGTGGAATCGTATTATTTGCGCATAAGTGAATATAACTAAAACCAACTGAAATTAGAACTCGGCTCTCCGATTAACAATTACGTGCCATTCACTACACCACCTGCACATCCAAGTTTACAGAAGAACCAAGCGGTCACCCATCAAGGTACTGACCATGTTCGACGTTGCTTAACTTCGGTGGTTGTATAATATCACGATTAAAATTAATTAAACAATAGTAAATTATTTAAAGAATAACTATTCTTACATTGTATCACCGATTGCATTTGACCGCCTCTCGCGTAGGCGTGATTTGAAGTTTTCACTATCGCTGCCCACTAGCTTTACCGATACTCCCCGATTCCCAGATGAGCTTTCCTCATTCACTTCACTGTCAGATTTCGATCAGTAGCGAAAAAGAATTTCTGATTTCACACGAATAAATATTTTTTTTTTTTACTTAAATTTTTTTTTGTCAGTCAACACTGATCCTTTATGCTGTGCTTTGAGAATGAGGAAGAAAGGGATTGTCAAGGGTCAGGAAGAAAAACAGATCTTATTGACATTATCAATGTTGTGGAAGGAAAACTGATGAAGGTGTGCCGGAGATTTGGCACGAGGACATAAATACAGTATAGGCGATTTTACATTCAGCTGACATGGTCAGTCACACAAGCTCGTTAACATTAACTCCACGCTAAGGCGCCCAAGAGATTCAAGCAGAGTTGCTGTTTGTCGATCGGCAGCAATAAAGACAAAGAACACATGAGGCATGAAAACGTGTGTACATTAAATATAAATGTAAGCGTGTGTGAAGGTGGGGGATGTTTCTTTCCTGCAAGATGTCAGGAAAGTTGTCAACTTATTAAAACATGAAAATTCAAAATGAAGTAAACTATTTTCCTTCCTCTACCACCCTTCCCATTTTCTCTCTCTCTCTCTCTACCACCCTTCCCATTTTCTCTCTCTCTCTCTCTACCACCCTTCCCATCTCTCTCTCTCTCTCTCTCTCTACCACCTTCCCATTTTCTCTCTCTCTCTCTCTCTCTCTCTCTCCTCTCTCTCTCCTCTCTCTCTCTCTCTCTCTACCACCCTTCCCATTTCTTCTCTCTCTCTCTCTACCACCTTCCCATTCTCTCTCTCTCTCTCTCTACCCCTTCCCATTTCTCTCTCTCTCTCTACCACCCTTCCCATTTCTCTCTCTCTCTACCACCCTTCCCATTTCTCTCTCTCTCTCTACCACCCTTCCCATTTCTCTCTCTCTCTACCACCCCTTCCATTTCTCTCTCTCTCTCTCTCTCTCCACCCTTCCCATTTCTCTCTCTCTCTACCACCCTTCCCATTTCTCTCTCTCTACCACTCTTCCCATTTCTCTCTCTCTCTACCACTCTTCCCATTTCTCTCTCTCTACCACTCTTCCCATTTCTTTCTCTCTCTACCCACACCTCTCTCTACCCCTCTCTCCATTTATCTCTCTCTCTCTCTACCTCCGTCTTCATTCTTTTTTCCTCTCTCCCTCCCTTTCTCTCGAATTGACGTATCTACGTTATTATTCATAAAGTCAAAGTGGAAAGATGTTTAAGCTTAAAGATATTGATAAAAATAAAAAAACTTAAACGAAGAATTAAGATATGAACTTCTTGTAATATTGAATAATAATTCTGTCCCCCTAGAAATCCATGCTCGTGCCTCAACCAATGTTTTAAATAAATCCATTTTCCCCAGACAGCATTATGTACAACAGCTGACATTTCTTTTCTCAAGAGAAATAAAATAAAAAAATAAATAAAAAAGATTAGTTTTGCTCCATCGGAAATAATTCTGGAATGTGAACGATTTTTTTTTTCTTTTACTCACTTTATAAATATTAATATAAAAGGTAATTGAAAAAGCAATAATTTCACAAAAGAATTTCGTATTTTTTTAAAACAATTTTTTATTGTTTTTAAACCAACGAAAATTTATGCTGAAATCATTGCATAAACATACTACGCCATCTCTCTAAAAGACTGACGCTACAAGGTCTTCTTAAATCATCTTCCTTGAAAGTTTGACTTCATACTAAGCTAAGTTTGAGTTTGCGGATAGTGTAATGGATATTCGCATGGAAAGTGGAACCAAGGAGTCGTGTTCAAATTCCGGGTTAGTATGTCATGTTCACTTCCACATTTGGGAAAAGGAATGAATTTGTCGTTTCCCTTCAGCAATGGGTTAAATAGCTGAATAGATTAGTTTCTCCAGTAATGGCTGGCATCAGTCTATGTGAAAGAAAACTAAACCCAAAGTCCATGGAGAGGGCAAGGGAAAACTGCTTTACCATGTATCCCAAGAATGCATAGTAATTTACAGACAAAAAGAAATTAGTGGATATGGATACGTTATAAAAAGAAAAAAATTACCTGGCGGTGCTTATGGCTTATCAACCCTCTGTGGGTTATTTAAAACCGAAATATTTTTGGACTGCGAGAATTTTTTTTACTTAATAATGATACAAGTCATACTAATTAACCTATAGCTAGGGAGAGAAGGTGTGCATATTGCATTAACTGTTTTTTTAAGAATCATTTTCTGACACAATCCTAATATTTAACCCATAGACGGGGCAGAAGAGATAGACCCATACTTTTCCCAAAGATATTTACGTGTGTGAATATAACGATTTCTCGTTCTGGGCAGCTATCTATTACACAAGCCGCACATCTGTTAAATATAACTTTATACGAGAGTTACTAAAAAAAATTAGCTGATTTTGTAAGTCTCTTTATTACTGGGATATATAGAAATTAAAAGCTGCATGATGTTAGCAGAAGAAAGCCTAATAAAGGCTTTCTTCTGCTAACATCTTGCAGCTTTACTGCCCCCCATTAGAATGTCTGATAGTCAACTTCTTGAGAGCAACTCTCTGCGTCTGCTCGGTCTCACGTTGACTGCTGACCTGAGATGGAACAAATACATTGAGTCAATTGCTTCTTCCACCGCGAGGAAAGTTGGCTCTGTGCCGCGCCAGGAAATTTTTCTCCCCGGAATCGATACTTCAAATATACAAAACAACCATTCGCCCTTGCATGGAGTATTTCTGCCATATATGGTCTGGGGCACCTTCTGTTTACCTCTTGACAACATGCAGAGACGGATATGTAATATAGTTGGCCCTGATCTGGTGTCTCGTCTACAGTCACTCTCTCACAGACGCGCCGTCGCCTCTCTCTGTCTTTTCTACAAATACTTTCATGGTAATTGCTCCGAAGAGCTGCTTTCACTGGTTCCCAGACTTCATAAATTCAAGCGCCCTACGAGACTGGCATCTCGCTCCCACCCTTACACTGTAGAAAATTTTAAATGTAGCCGTCTCTTCTACTCCAATAGCTTCATACCTCGCACCTCTCGCCTGTGGAACAACCTTCCCAATTACTGTTTTCCTGAGAGCTATAATCTTTAACTATTCAAATGTAATGTCAATCGACACCTCCAGTCACCTTGATCTACCCACTATCCTTCTCCTCATCCTTTCCTCTATCACTCCTATCTGCTCTCGCTCCAAATCTTCTGCAACCCCCTGCATCCTAGTGGCTTCACGCCTTGCTCGGGGCGTAATGCTTAAAAAAAAAAAAAAAAAAAAATATGATGAAACCGTGCACTTCGAAGAAAAAGCCACTAAGACTCTGTAATGAAAGCAATATGTTATGTGAGCGTTTAGATTAGCAAAAGGCCAAGATGATTTTCATGTACGAAAGAAAAAATTCTAACCTCCGTTCCTCTACACATTTTGACCACATTTTCAGTACAGGTTGAGGTTAGTATAGTGCACACATTTCAGTCACACCTTGTACAACAATCCTGTTAGAAAACAGAATGCATGGTTATTAGCAAAGAATGAGCCTAAAGTACGAATTGCAAATCGGAGATACCAAAATCAAACAAGTGAGGAAATTTAAATATCTGGGAAGTGTTTTAACAGAGGACGGAAACTGTAAAACTGAAATTTGAAGGCGTATTGGGATAGCCAATGAGACATTCCAAAAGCTGAATACGAAAAAAAAAAAAAAAAAAAAAAAAAAAAAAAAAAAAAATCGCCAGAATCAAGAAACAGTACTAAACTGTTAGGTAATATCAATTCTCCTGTATGGCTGTGAGTAATGGACGATCTCCTCAAAGATGAAGATGACACTTGAAGTAAAAAGTAAACTACTATTTAACTTTAGTTGAGGTTTCTGGAAATAGGATAGGTATGGAACAGAGGACAACAACGCATTTTTTTAAGCATTTCACCCCAAGCAAGGCGGGAGTGCCAATAGCACGCAAGGGGTTACAGAGTGTGGGAGCAAAAATTAAAGAGACGTGATAGAGGAAAGGATGAAGAGAATGATAGGCAATAGATCAAAGCATCTGGAGATGTCGATTGACACTACATTTGAATAGTTGTAGATTATAGCAACCAGGGAATAAGGTAATTCCACAGACGGGAGGTGCGAGACATGAAGCTTTTGGAGTAGAAGAGACGGCTACATTTAACCCTTTCAACAGTGAAAGGGTGAGACTGTGATACCAGACTAGTAGCACGTTTAAATTCATGCAGTTTGGGAACCAGCGATAGTAACTCGTCGTAGCAGTTACCGTGAAAGTATTTGTAGAAAAGACAGAGGAAGGCGACGACACGTCTGTAAGAGAGCGACTGTAGACGAGATGCCAGATCAGAGCCAATCACATTGCATATCCGTCTCTGGATTTTGTCAAGGACCTTAAGGTGAACGGCAGGGGCACCAGACCATATATGGCAGCAGTATTCCATGCAAGGGTGAAATGAGCTTCACTAAATGGAGGGCAGAATAGGGCTTAGGAGAAATCACAGAAAGAAAGTTTATCAAGAGCTACAAGGGTCAGGAAGTTGTGGACAGCCATGATTTATGTCTTGAGGGGACATTTCACATAAAGAAGTGTGACAGTCTTTTGCGACTATTACTTTGATTCGAAAGATAATAATACAAATGATATTTTTGCGTTTGCCAAACACACAAGTGATAGATGACTGTACAGGTTTTGGGTGATACAGACAGTATATTTAAAATAATGGACACAAGAAAGAATAAACAGTTACAACGAACAACATATTTTATTGCCGAAGCAAACTAGATAGGAAGAATACAAAACGAATAAATGAAGGCATGATAGTGTCATATAGGAAGAAAATGAGTAACTACCGACACCGGGGTTCGACCGTGACACTTTGGACTTATGAATATGTTTTCCGCCAGGTGTATAAACAGCGGTGTCAGGCTACTGACTGCCGTGACTATTGAGTGGAACTATCCAGTCGAATTAGTGTGAATTATTGTCCGTCGATGATATGGGTTTTTATTTAGGATCTACCAAATGTTAATCCGAACCGCGCTATTAACAAGGTATTCACTGAAATGGTTAATTATCTTTGGTTTACTTTTATTTCTTTGTTCTTGGTTAAGTATTTCTTTGTGGTTCTAATACCGTTTTATTTTAACATTGAAGTCTTTAGTTATACTTAATTATCAACGGCAACTGTACGTCACAAAAGATAGAAAGAGGTCTTTTTTGTACATATGTTGGACAAGTTCCCCAAGGATGAAGAAAAAAAGCTAGAAACAGCAGAAATGTGGTTCTACAGAGGGATAATGAAAAATTCTATGGACAGAGCGAGTAAGCAACAAGGAAATGGCAACAAAAAGGACACATACTCAAATTCAGGAAAAGACTGCTGAAATTTCTTACTCTGATCTCACATGAGAAAGAAGGGCTTGGAAAACTAAACACTCACGGTGCATATTAAGGACAAGGGGCATAAAGGAAGGTGGCAAGGCTCTTCAAAACCCTTTGATCGAAGGCCTTGCTGCTGCATGTAGTCTATCGTCATACCCAGGAGGAGTGATCGTACGGGATATGAAATTAAGCCTCATGAGAAAAGGAAGAGAAGAAAGAAAGAAAGAAATCAAAAGGGAAGAGAAGAAAGAAAGAAAGAAATCAAAAGGGAAGAGAAGAAAGAAAGAAAGAAATCAAAAGGGAAGAGAAGAAAGAAAGAAAGAAATCAAAAGGGAAGAGAAGAAAGAAAGAAAGAAATCAAAAGGGAAGAGAAGAAAGAAAGAAAGAAATCAAAAGGGAAAGAAGAAAGAAAAGAAAAGAAAAGGGAAGAGAAGAAAGAAAGAAAGAAATCAAAAGGAAGAGAAGAAAGAAAGAAAGAAATCAAAAGGGAAGAGAAGAAAAAAGAAAGAAATCAAAGGGAAGAGAAGAAAGAAAGAAAGAAATCAAAAGGAAGAGAAGAAAGAAAGAAAGAAAGAAAAAAGGGAAGAGAAGAAAGAAAGAAAGAAATCAAAAGGAAGAGAAGAAAGAAAGAAAGAAATCAAAAGGGAAGAGAAGAAAGAAAAGAAAGAAAATCAAAAGGGAAAAGAAAAAGAAAGAAAGAAGAAAGAAAGAAAAGAAAGAAAAGGGAAGAGAAGAAAGAAAGAAATCAAAAGGGAAGAGAAGAAAGAAAGAAATCAAAAGGGAAGAGAAGAAAGAAAGAAATCAAAAGGGAAGAGAAGAAAGAAAGAAA